CTCCTGTGAGGGTTTTTTACCCCCCCACACACAAAAAAAAAAAAAAAAAAAACGACTGGCTGTTCTGAGCCCCCCCCCAACCCAAACCCACCGTCATCGTCGTCGTTGTTGTTGTTATTGTCATTACAGCAGCAGATTGTCGTGTTAATTAATTCAAGACTCTGATAATAAAGTATAACTAGCAGAACCCTAATGCCAGAGCCCCCTGGGGACCCTGTGGCGTAATTGCACAACAGTTTAATTTGCAGGAATCTGCTGTGATTAACAGTGAATGGCATCATAACAGCCGTGTTAAATAGTGGAAACGGGTGATGAGTCCCGCTCTCCAGTGATTTACACGGGTCTCACTTGATAAATGAATACAATGAAGAGTAGAAACCAATCCAAGGAATGATTGTACTGCAGTACACGCCAAAAAAAACCCAACTTCTATATTCCTGCTTCTTCAATCTCTATAAGAAAATATCACGTGTTTCTAGCGACTTATTCCTAAAACTAAATAAAATCAATTTGTCTCGTGGTGTGAACATCCGTCCAGTTCGATCACAGACTTCGTTACTATGAAATAAATGACCAGGTCTGTATGATGGCACTTCATTTATATTTAGAATTTATATTTAAAAAAAACCCCATTTGCTTAGATCTGTTTTTTTCTGACAACTTTACTTATATTTAATTATTATTTTTGTAAAAGTAAATCAGCTTTCTTAACAGTTTTTAGGCATACATGAAAAAAAACAGGTGTTTTCCCTGAGCCAAATGTGCTTTGTAAAAGTAAATCAGCTTTCTTAACTGTTTTTAGGCATGAAAAATAAATGTTAATTAATTAATTACTGTTAATGTGGAAAATGTTAATTTCTTTTTTTTTTTTTTTGAGCAGCTACACCCAACCATCTGTCTGTGGAGCTTTTCCACCGCAAAGAAACAATGGTGGGGACCTTCGCTGTCCGTGGTGCTGAAACACAGCCTTTCATCCGCTGCGTTTTTTGCCTTTTCAATTGTGAAAAATGACTAAATATTAACTGTTTCCACACATGTGGAATGTCCCATCAATCTTTCTGTTCTTATATCTGTATCAGTAAGGACAGATGAAGTTGCTGTCCATGGTGCTGAACACATACTGTTTCCAGATTGTTGTCATCTGGGGTTGCCAAACGTGAACCGAATCCATTTTTTAGTCAAAGTTGATTAAAAAATAAAGTTGCCAAACGTGAACCGAATCCATTTTGGAGTCAAACTTAAGTTGATTAAAAAAATAATAAAAATACAAATCTCGATGTGTGCTCTGTTTAAATATGCCAAACTTCTACATAACTGCAAAAAAAAAAAAATCTGCATCTCCCTGCAGCTGTTTTCACCGAGAAGAAACGAGCCAGAGTAAACGCCGCTGTCCGTGGTGCTGAATTTTATGCTTCTGCATCTGCACTGATCTCACTATGGCATCCCGTCCTCCTGCCGGCAACACGTGCCTGTGTCGGCTCCGTCCTCTGTGCATGTATTGATTAATTAAGAAGGAGCCGGCGGGTGGCAGAACACCAGCTTTCATCCGCCCGCCTCCGTCGACGTCTCCAGGGACAAGCATCTCAAACATTTACAAAATGACTGCCAAGGCGGGTGATATTCAGCCTTTTTATATGAGAGGAGGGGGGAGAGCGGGAGGGGACAGAGGGGGGGTGGCAGCCACACACACACACACACACACACAGACACAGACAGAGGCCTATTACAGACTGTCACATGAACGTGTGTGTGTTACCTGTATGGTTTGCCGGTTGTAGACCTTCACCACATGGAAGTTAAAACTGTAAATCCCTTTGCGCGGTGCAATGAAATTACTCCTCTCTTCGTCGAAGTTTTTCCCGACATTTACTAAAACCTTCGAGAGAAGAAAGGAAGAAAAAGAAAATGGGGAAAAAAAAAAAAAAAAACACACAGTGTGTTAACAGAAGTATCTCTGACCGTCTCCAAAATCTGACGCATCGTTTAGATCAGCGGGCTTTGTTTTTATACCAAGGAAAAAGTCGGCCGGTACCAGCCGTTACTGCGGACCAGTGATACCGTACCATCGTTATAGACCTTCTTCTGTTAGAGTCTGAATGACCTTTGACCTGTTGTTTTCTAAACATTTCGACAGATCATCTTTGGATAAAAACAGTAAAGGGATTTGACTGGATTCTTTAATTACTAAAACTGAAATACATTCTTTCCCACTGTGGCCCTGTACCGAATCACTCACGGACCGGTACCAGTCCGCGGACCGGGTGTTGAGGACCCCTGGTTTAAGAGATATTTATCCCAACGTTTTGGAAGATTGAGCCCACAGGATGAAATAATTTCTGCAGTTTCCCCTTGGCCCCAGGACACCTCTGATGTAAAGGAATAACTCCCACTCTCTCCCTCTCTCTCTCTCTTTCCCCGTCTTGTTGATCTCAGATCCCAAACTTAATTTTGAATCCATCAATCTTTCACGTTGGAATTTTCAATTATGGATTTTTTTTTTTTTTTTTTGCAGCCGAATGTCATCTTTTATGGGCGGAGGCCAATACTGGCACGTCATCGAACGGCAATTTAAAGGGGAATTAACCTTTAAACGGAGCACGGGTCAGACTGAGCCCCGTTGACCTGCTGTTACTAAATTGTTGGGCGAGTTGTCAGGTCCGCCGTCGGCGCAAATGGCGGTTGAAAATATTCGGACGGATTTATGGATTTCTTCTACAAAAAAAAGCTTTAGAAATTTGAAGAATTCACGAAAGGTTGGTTTTATCTGGGCTCCATTATCAGTCCTGCTGCTCAGAGCACCGAGCCTGGGACTGTCCACGTCTCAATCAACGCAATTAGCAGCAGGTTTTAATGGGATTTTTGAAGGTTTTTGAAACAGACTTTTTCATCAGAATTGGCAAAAATGTATCACAGAAAAAAGAAAATGAAATATTTAATTTGAAAATCAACAATGCAGTCAGGGCTCTTTGTACGTCTTGTGTAAGAGAGACGTCTTTGTCAGGACAACAGACCGTCTGTTGTCGTCTGTTGGACTGAATCTCAACTGTTTTTTTACACTTTTATTTCTTTCAGTTTCAACTGCTGAAATTCCTTTTTGAGCAGCAAAAAATAATTAAAAAAAATATTTTTT